CTACTTAAGTACTTTGATATTATTATTTAATTCTGACATTTCATGATAGACAATTTTACTTACCGACTGTGGCATGCTAAATAATTATTACCTATAACACCTATAAAAGAGCAATTTCCTCTTATGTTACCTACTTGAAGTTCTTTGTAGGGGTGTGCAAGATAGAATGTTTTTGCTATCCAGCTACATACAGGATATATGTTGGATAGTTGAAAAATATCCAGCTAGATTCAGGGTATTATTCACATATATAAATGTTTTTTTCTAAACTTAGCCGCAGCCGAGCTTCGCCTATTCTTGATGTTACATGATGTTCTTGCTTTTCTTCTGCCCAGTCCCCAGCCAAGTTACTGTATGTATACAGTATACTTAACTCTTTGGCTACCATAGAGACTGCTAACTACAGATTTTTAACTCATTTATTGACAGACCTCTAACTACTGATAAGTAAAATTGTCTGACATTTATAGACGATAAATACTAAAGTAGGTCTGTAATAGCCTCTGATGTTTCAGCACTTCTACACTTGTTCTCAATTTCTTTTACTAATTATATTTTATTTAAAGACTATTTACATTATATGTTTTAACTTTTTATTATCTATGTTTTAACTACTGGTATTTATAATATATTTTAAAAATATTTATAGGCTATATGTATTTCTATACACTATATTTAATAACTATTCTAACTGTATTAACAGGACATATTTTAACTATTTATTTAATATGTTATTACTATTTTTAATCTATTTGGGCAATATTATAACCACTATTTATTAGCTATTTTTAACAAGCTGGGATGTATTTTAACTATTTATTATCTATTTTTAAGCTATATTATCACTATTTTTGAACTATGTATTATCTATTTTTAAACTATATTATCACTATTTTTGAACTATGTATTATCTATTTTTAAACTATATTATCACTATTTTTGAACTATGTATTATCTATTTTTAAACTATAATATCACTATTTTTGAACTATTTATTATCTATTTTTAAACTATATTATTACTATTTTTTAACTATTTATTATCTATTTTTAAACTATATTATCACTATTTTTTAACTATTTATCTATTTTTAAACTATAATATCACTATTTTTGAACTATTTATTATCTATTTTTAAACTATATTATCACTATTTTTTAACTATTTATTATCTATTTTTAAACTACAATCTCACTATTTTTGAACTATTTATTATCTACTTTTAAACTATATTATCACTATTTTTGAACTATTTATTGACTATTTTAAACTTCGTTGAAACACATTTCACCTATTTATTACATATTTTTTACCTATATTGTCACTATGTTTTAACTATTTCATACACATTTATTAACTATGTCGAAACTAACTATTTTTAATAATTTCCTTAAATAGCTCTATTTTTATCATATTTGAAACCTATTTAATTTCTATTCGAGTACATCAATTAAGTATTTGTTTAGAAATATATCATGAATAGGAAAAAAATATGGTTCCACTTGAATAGGAAAAAAATAGCTTTTCTACCCTAATTTAAATAGGAAAAACCTCGAAAAAAAATAATAGTGAAAATAGGAAATAAATACTTTGATAAATAGGAATTAAATAGCCCAATAAAATAGGAATTAAATAGCAATTAAATAGTGTTTGTTTCTACAAGGGCACGTGCCCCATCCCACTCTATTTTAGAATTTTACTCTGCCTATAATGCTTAACGATCTTATTACTTAGTATACTTATCAGATGTACAGTAGGTAGGGTACTGCCAAACACACAAAGAAGAACTATCCCAGGTTGTTCTTCAAAGGTGTTATACAATAATGACATATGATATGGAAAATGTTAACTAATTACTAGAATACAAAGCTGGGAAAACTATATTTACTTACAATACATAAAGTTATAACATTGCTATACTCCAATTAATCATGCAGATATTTAAATAAGACAAATATACTAATAATGATAACTAAAACGCTTCTTTGCAATATTAGGATGTTCTCGTGCAGTATTTAGGAACGTAAATTGCTTGTAGGATTTTTATATGAACTACATGTAGGTAATGTAAATTATTTTGCCTTTCCACTGTCAGTTTATCAGCCTAATTTGAGCTATCATCTTCAGCATTGCTTTTCATTTAAGTATGTTGATTTGTCTTTATTAAATAACATGTATATAACGCGTGCTCTTATTGGTCAAAACCTGTGTTTGGATCAAGCCATCCAAACACTGAAATTTAAAGTGAAAGTTTTTTAAAGTGAAATTTTAACACGGAAAGTTGTTATTTTATAAAACAATTACGTCATGATTTCCGTGTTGGGATGGCCTGGTCCAAACACTTGGGAATGTTGCTTGAGTTAAGAAAAGCGCGCACAATCACTCGCCTTTGGCTCGTGTTCGCGCGTTTTTCTTATCTCTCGCAACATTCCTGCGTGTTTGGATCAGGCCATGTCCAAACACGGAAACCATAAAGTAATTGCATAATATCATGCTATAATATCTATTTACATCCTACTTATATCAATTGTCATTTGTGTTATAAGCAAGTGGGCAAAAGTATGTTTTCCCTTCCAATTTCAGCAAAATACACTTCTTCTTAATTTAATTGACTAGGATAAATTGCTATTTTTACAACAGCATGCTCTGCCTCTGTAAGGAAAACGCTTTCCAGATTAAAATCAAGGTCTCTGTACAGTGGGCTACCACGCGCAATCTTTGGTTGAACCAACACAACATTGTAACTACTGCAGTTTCAGTATTGGAGCTCTTCCATAATGCTTAAACACTCTGGCTTGATTGTTAGAAGACCTACAATAATGAAATATGTATACTGGTCATGTTCAAATGTTATTTCTCTGTTCTTCTTTTCTGCAACAAATCTGGAATACATCAAACCACAGCGCTTGTTCACTTCCACTTTAATTAAATATTGCACAGCAAGCACTTGTGATTCAGTGTGTTGGGTAGTTCCTTCTTTGCCAACACCTCCAACACCCTCCGAAAGGGACACATCATTGTCAAAAGACATAACACCTCTTAACTTCTGGAACAGTTGGTAAACAGCTAGGGAACTTTCTTCGTTGATGCATTGCTTAGCAAGTACAGGAAACTTTTTCGTAATCACGCATGTCTCTACAATCTGTCCCGAAATGTGTCTCGTACCATGAAACATCTTTTACAAGGTGTAATTGTTGGACTCGAAAATGAATGCTGCAGAAGATGAAAGAGGGTCACAATCTCGAATAGACTGAGCGTGCAAGATGGATCAACTGATGGACGTTAAATGTACAATATTTCAAGCCATACAATTCCTAAACTTCAATAACAAATTTTGTTAAAAAAGCTTCTGCAGAATTGATAGCATATTCCGGGCTGGAATCACCAAGGAGAGAGTACATGGCATACACGTACAGGCCGTGAGATGATGGTTGAAAATGAGCTTAGAAAACAGATTCTGTAGCAACCCTCGTGTAACTACATAATTTTTAAATGAATGGATAGATTATAACTTATTTAGTAAGAATCCATTTCCCCCCAAGCGAAATAGTTGCACAAATTGAAGTACAACCTCTCCAAAGTTCAGCCTTCCTCTCATTTTGAAATCCGTGAACCGCCATTGTTGTGCTGCAAATACGCATGCGCTTGCCAACATGACATTTAATGCTCACGCGCAGATAGGAAAAGCTTATCTCAATCGAAGACTGGACAAACCTGGAATTTATCATTTTTTAGGGGGGATTTTTTTAGGGGGAAGGGGAAGAAGTATTTCTAATATATACAAAGAATCAGTTTGCACGTTTGATTCTCTTTAAATATGCAACTTCGGGTACTGTGATTTTCAATAAAATATCATAATTATCTTTCAAATACAATACTTTCACGCTTCACAATTTTATACATCAATTGCTTACAGGAGAGGGCCGGGGGTGGGAAGGGGGTGCTGCTAAACAGAGAAATTACGATATACCATAAATAACAATCTTATTTATTCTCTAAACTCTTTTCCCGTCAATTTTATTAGTTCAAGGTTGATTGGTCTTTGCCTCAAGAGCCAACCCTCTATTTTTCCTTTCGTCTCTGCCTCTTTCTGCCATTTCACGCGCGTTCAGTCTTAGTCCGGGAAACAATAAAACAAAGAAAATAGAGGGATTGCTCGCAGTCTAGGGCCAACCTACCAATTCTGATATACGCTGACTGGAACTTCATTACGACTCTGTTTTTGTATCCACCAATTTCATCCTCAAACACTGGTGTTTCGTAGTTGATCATGCACGCCTTTTCGCCCATTTAATTTGTGCAGTCATCATTCTCAGTTTATAAAAAAAAATAACAAAGAAGTAGGAAACAGGAGAACGGCTTAGTAGATTATGTGACGTATTGTTATACAACAGCATTGCGTGACGTTTGCAATCTAAAACTTACGCATACGACGCGCGCATATTAATAGAAGGGAGTTTGCGCCTTATCTAATTAACATTAACATTAACATTAACAGCCTTTCCGCAACATACTGTCCATTCTCACTCAATTAAATTTTAATATGTCATCCAACAGCATTAAGACAAAAATCGGAACACAACCAACAGATAACCTGACTCAGACTGAGTGATTTGCTCTTTATCAAAACATCACTGCTCTCCAAAATGTCTTCGAAACCGTCATCATAATCATAATCATCATCACCTTCAAAATCACCTGATTTCCATCGCCTTCGATCTTCAAACAATCAGGGTAAATATGTTATCTAACAACGTGAAGTCGCAAATAGGAAAGGCCAACAGATGATTAAGATGTGGGTAAATAAGTTTCTCTCAACCTGAACTCGGAGAAGTTTTGTATCTTTCTTTCAACTGGTTGAAAGAAAATTTTTACTTACACCGTGTTATTCCTACAACCTTTATCTACACTGGACACCAACTTTGTTCAACTTTTTAAAACAAATGATTACCTGATCCCGGACCGAGTACTTTATTCTTTATTCTTTGTTAAAACATCACTGCTCTTCGAAAATGTTAGCAGCAATATGTCCTAAAACTTCTCTGAGTTCATGTTTAGAAAAACCTATTTACCCACATCGTGTTAATCATCTGTTGGCGTTTGTTCCGATTTCGGACTTCATGTTGTCAGATAACATAGTTTACCTTGCAGATTGTTTGAAGATCGAAGGCGATGGAAAACAGATGATGATGATGGACAACTTTTGGAGTCAGAGCCGATGACGGTTTCGCTGAAAACATTTTCAGAGGCGTAGCCAGGTTGGGGGCGAGTGGCCAGCATTTTTGCGCCCCC